CATGTTTCTGTTGTTCATCCTCCTGAGGGGCGGGGTTCTCCTTTCTCCCCTCACCTTTCTCCTACTCTTATGGTATCGCTACTCCCATTACAGTCCCGAAGGAAGGGCTTTAATCTGTCCTGGATTCTCTCTGTCGCAAGCTCTTTTCTGAACCAGTGTACATGCTCCAGTCTAGCTGAATTTGTCAGGTAGCATTGGAGTCATGATAGTGGTAGTGGTGTGCGGGAGCATTAGAGAACTAGAGGAAAGTTGTATGTTTCATTGGTGCTATACTGCACCCTGGCTAACTCAGACCCTTTTTGTGACCCTTCTGTGAGGGGATGTACAATTATTGAAATATGGACTTTGGGACTCCACTCCTACTCACCTTGTTCACATAAATATGATTGTTTTATTTTGGCCTTCTGATGTCTGAAACCTGATTCTGTCAACACCTCATGGTCACACAAGCTGCTGTGCTTCTTCCATGTGGCCTCTGTTGCTTTCCTGCTAGATGGCTGCTTGTTTTACCTTCAAGCCTTTAAGACCTCAGACTCTATATCTTTTAATAGCCAGGCACCATCAGCTTTCTTCACCACATTTGCTTATGCACTCATTTTGTCTTCAGTGGTCCTTTTGGGAAGGTGAGCATCACAGAATGGCAGGTTATAGAACAAAGTGTTCTTTTTTTGAGGGAGGACTTGAGTCAAGGCCCAATGTCCATCTGCTACCTTAATATTTAACATATAAATATATGTATATAGGCCTATAGTCCTATCATTATATTTACATATATACATGCCTTTATTTATACTTCTATAAATGGCTTTTGCCTCTTAGTTCTTTCCTCAATTTCCTTTTACTTTCCTCCTGCCCCATTATCACGTTCAGCCTTCATTTGGATCTCAGTAATTCCTCTCAGTTACGTTGCACTTGATCACACACCACCAGGCCTCCTACGCTCCCCTCTCCATCTCTTGGTGTTCCTTGTCGCATATGTTGTTGTTGTTTGTAACTCTTTTATGGAACCTAATATAATTGGTTCTGAGGCAGAGTAAATCATGTACTTCTGACCACTCCCTCCATTTCTCCCTGATACCATGCCCATAGTAAGCATTCCATAAATGCCTTGTAAGGTTAAATACATGTGTAGAAATAATTTTAATGAAACGAGGGAAGTAAAGGATGTTTCTTATTTCCAGCATTTTCTTACTGTCTTAACTTTTTTTTTTAAGGTTCAATATGCTTCAATAAGCCTCTCATCCTTACTAAGATCTATGGGAGACCGAAAAACCTTTCATTATTTTATTTCAATAAAATTTGCAGATTCACGCCTGAGGATTGAATCATCTATTTTTAGGCCTTTTTCACCTTCTGTACATTGGATGAACAACTTGCTACTCATTAAACAGATTGTACATTAAAAACTATAACTTACAGAAGCAGAAATATCATACATTTGGTGATAATTAGTAGTGTTCATTTACTCACTAAGTACTAGGGCATACCATACTGTTTCCATAGCAACCTCTGTTCTGTTCAATTAACTGCCTAATGTGAATGTATGAATACATTTCTATGTTTAAAGAAGAAGCTCCAAACAATGGGGTAATTTAAGAGTTTACAGTTGCAGATAGAAGCACATCAATTCTACCTTATTTTCTACTTTTCTTTTGAAATGTGTTTTTGATGTTTTCAGGTTCTGGATATAACCAGAAAAAGCCTAGGAACAAATGAATTTTAATGAATTTCTGAATGTCCTACTGAACCAGATTCTCAGTCCCTCAGCTAATCCCTGGTTGTGAATTATGCAAATGTACAAGCTGCCTTAACTCTTTCAGGACACTCAGGCATACCATTTGGCAAGCACAGACTCCAGGGGACTAATCCATCATGGAAAAAAGGAGGAAAAAGAAACAAAAGTCGTTTAATTGAAGTCATGAAATCAGTGTTGCTTTAATTTATAAGTTGTCCTTCGAAAGCAGGACTGGCATTGTGTTAATGTTTATACAGAGGGAAACTTAGGTATTACCAGCAGACTTTCAGAAACCATGTTTGAGAAAATGTTATAGGGAAGACAGTGGCTTTGGAGTTCAAAGATCTGAGTTCAGAATCTGGAATACCCAGTTTCCTCTCTGGTAAAAAGGTGTTAATAATTGACAGTGAGTGGCTCTCACTCTCTGCCATTGCCTTACGTGGGCAAAATTAGATGAACGACAATTACATGAAACAAACTCAGTCACCCCCTCTATTTTATTGCTAGACGATTGTTACATTGCTGGTATTTGACAAGTTTTGAACTTAAGATAGTAATTTTATGTAGTTCAGCCTAATAAATGTGATCTACTGAGGCACAGAGATGTTAAGTTGGTGTGTGATGTCATGTGAGACAGGTTCTATTGGATTCATCCAAACCACGAAAATGTAAAGTTGGGTAAATAACAATTCGAATGACCTGGTACATTGTCTAAGCCCAAACCCAGAACACATCAGTTTCTTTTCCATTTCTGATCATCACCCTGGAAGTGGATGGGATATTGTAGGGAGCAGTTATGGGAGGTATGCTTGATTTGGAGCTTTGTGGAAAGATAGAAATGAGTGGGAACCAAGACAATAGTTTCATATTCTACCCTTTTCACTAATAGAGACACCTTAGCTGTACTATTCCCTTATATATTTACTAGAACAATAATCATGATACTGTATGTTTTCTAAGAAATCATGAGACCTTTTTATTAAAAAATATCATAGTTTATCCTGCTAATCATATATATAATTTCCAAATATTTATTATCATTCTAAATGGCGATCAATTTTTGTTAGTGTTTAGATTTTTAGTAAAAAAGAAAAAATATATATAGTCCATTTCTTCTACTGCCAGTAAAAAGAGGATTCTGAAAGCAACATACTAAGTTCGTTTTCCTTTTCTAAAAGTTTTATATGGACACCTGACTATATAAATGCTTTTGGATAATTATATATAACATATACTTTAAAATGCGTTCATATATATAGTTCATAATGTAAAATCTTTGGTAAAGTTTAAAGTTCCTTGGGTAGCATAAACAGTTAAGTGCTGAACTGCTAACCATAAGATTAGTGGTTCAAATCCACCCAGAGAGCCCTTGGAAACAGGCTTTGAAAACCTAACTGATACCATGACCCAGTTCTAACTTACAAATATGGCTAGATCAGAGAACACTCATTGGTGTAGATGAAGAGCTCTCAACACATGGAATCCAGGACAGATAAACCCCTCAGGAACAGTAGCAGGTGTAGTGATATCATGAGGGGAGGGGCATGGTCAGGGGGGGGAGCCCATCATGAGATCGGATATATGGCCACTACCACCCACCACCCACCCCCGAAGGGAACAAATAGCAGAAATGTGGGTGAAGGGATACAAGGGACAGTATAAGATATGAAATAACAATAATGTATAATTGATCAAAGATACACAAGGGTGGGGGCGGGAGGGGGAAACAGAAGAGCTTATATCAATGGCTCAAATAGAAAATGTTTGGGAAATGATGATGGAAACATATGTACAAATATGCTTGATATAATTGATGTATGAAATGTTATAAGAGCTGTAAGAGCTCTCAATAAAATGATAAAAATAAAATAAAATTTTAAAAAACCTAACTGAGCACATCTACTCTCCACACAGGGATCACCCTGAGTTGGCATGGAATCCAGGGCAGGTACCAACAGCAACAATAATTTTAGTCTTGGGCCTGGTAAACAGAAATGTTAGCTAGCAGTGCATCTGGCATTTTCTTTTACATAATGATATTAATTTGAACAAATTTATTTATATAAAATGTGCAATTTTTATTTAGAGGGTCACATTCAGAGGGAAGTGAAAATTTTTTTCTATCAAAAGGAGCGATAATGCAGCAAATTCTATTGATTTTTGTTAACAGGAAATGATCAGGAGAGAGTTGTTCAGTCAGGCCGGGCATGTTGCGCCATTGTAAGCCTCAATCCAAAGCACTCTGCTTAAGTTAGGGTTAATTGAACCCAGTTCCCTAAATCAAGTACCCAGAGGCACCCCACTCCAGTCAATCTCCGTTTAAAGGCACCCAGCTCCAGCTTTGTGGGTCAGCAAATCCATCTCCCTGAGTTAAGTGCCCACATGGTGTTGCATTCTCCAAGTCAAGCTCCTAGCCGAAGTACTCAGCCTGTTCTTTGGCCTGGGGAGTCCACCAGTGTGTCCCCGACTCTGGCTCCTGGTTCTGGGGCCCCTCTGTAATCCACCTGTGTCAGTGTTGTCTCAGGGATCAGGGGGGTTCACTGCACAGGCTCTCTGCATCAAGAGGACACTCTCCACTCCTGGTTTTTGATGGTAGTGAGATCCCCCTCCTGCTTCCGGGATGGCTCATTTTATACCCAGCAGCTTGGCCATCACAATGAATCATGTTAACAACCACTGACAACTGAACCCTATCAGCATTTCCCTCCATCCTATTTTACCCAGATCCAGGAGGAGAAGGTTTTTGTGACTAAAAGGTGGCTGGCATACAACAGCAACAAAAAAATCAAAATGCGGAGCTATTGTTTCTCATCATATTCTTCATCTAGAGCCATCTATTTCTGAACGCAGTGTTCCTATCTCTATAACCCTTTCCTAAAGAATTCTACGCTCTTTCTTTGACACCATATCAAAAGGGCAGTTTGGGTATTCTCCAGAAACTCAGTCATGTGCCTTTTGAATGTTCGTTAAGTTTGGGGATGAAAAAGAAGTCAGAAGGGGCAAGATCAAGGCTGTGCAGTGGAGAGGTTAAGCCTCCCAGGGAAGTCTCATAGGAAAGTCCTTGTTCCCATCAAGACTGGGCCAGCATTCGTCCTGATAGAAAAGAAAAAAGAAAACCCTTTATGCAAGGTTCCAGGGGTTTTCCTCGCCGATGCAGTTATCAGTTCTCTTAAAATTGAAGTTTTCAGTTTTCTTAAAATGCTTACATAATAACCCCTTAAGATCATCCTGTTTCCCTTAAGAAAATCTATCAAGCGACCTCTCTCCGAGACTATGGCGCTCAACAAGAATCACTCACAGGGCGGCGGAGTGATCGTCAACAACACCGAGAGCATCCTGATGTCCTATGAGCATGTGGAACTTGCATTCAGTGACATGAAGAATGTGCCCGAGGCCTTCAAAGGGACCAAGAAAGGCAGTGTCTACCTGACCCCGTACAGGGTCATCTTTCTGTCCAAGGGAAAGGACGCCATGCAGTCCTTCATGATGCCCTTCTACCTGATGAAGGGCTGTGAGATCAAGCAGCCAGTGTTTGGTGCGAACTACATCACGGGCACGGTAAAGGCCGAAGCAGGAGGTGGCTGGGAAGGTTCTGCTTCCTACAAGCTCACCTTCACAGCAGGG